TGCTAATCTCTCTTTGCTCCACAGGTGCTAACAACCCTCTAGGGTTTATAATGGTCTTAATGTTCCACTATTCCTTTTTTCTGCAATTTAACTGTCTGTTAGCCATTCCTGGTGATGTCCCTTCTATTTCACAGCCCTGAAGACTGTTTTTAGCTCTAGCTAATAACCTTAACTCAGGTGTGATAATATTAACTTAGGTGTAGATATAACTGATTGTGAAGTATTGGAGTCATTGTCAAGGCACTCAAGAAGGCTAGATTTTGTTTTATGAATCTGAATAAGAAATGTATATTTAACTATAATGATTACAGGACTAATGACACAATATCTTTGGATTATTCTGACTATTTTTGCCTAGTTTGTTGTGTTTTTTCAACTTTATATATAATCAAGCAAGCTATTGGTATGATTATATATAATCTCATGCACATTCTAGTAGTTATATTTGTTTTTGCTTAAACAAATACTATAGTGCTAGGCCCCTAGCATATTACTAAAGCATCTAATTTCTGTTTAACCTGAGAAAAATTGGTGCTGTGTTATATATACGATGTGTCACTCCACCCGCACCCCCTTTTTCTAAATCCTACATCTGCCCATGGACGTACCACTCACAGGAGTGCCCTGACTTGCCAGGGACATTCTGTTGGAAGTTTCATGGTGGTTACATTACATAACAAACTCTGAGGTGGACCACAGGTTGTCTTAAATGTTCACCTAGCCCTGCTCTCTGTGGCTAGGGACAAACATTACACATAAATCAGTTTAAGTAATCAGAAATTGGTTTAAACCTGTAACAGAACATAAGCTCAGTGCATGGACATAAACCAGTTTCAAAATGGCTGAAAGTGGTTTAAGATAAACCTGGTTGAATGTAGTATCAGGCTCAACTGATTTGGGTCAAACCAGTTTATGAAACTTCTGTCCCAGACCCCTTCCTGGTTTAAGTTAAACCATAGTCCCCCAGCATGCTTTCCAGCCAAGGGCTTGGCTGTGCTGGCTGCTCGAGCAGAGAAGGGTTGGGCGGAGGGACAAAGGAGGACAGAGGCAGGGTCTGCCCCGAGGCAAATTTTAGCTGAGGTCTGGGGCCAGGGAAGGGGGATTAAATTACCCTTCCCTTGGGAAAAGAGCTGCCCTGCCTAAACTTACTGAAAGTTATTGCTGCCTACAACTGTGGACTACAAATCCCAGAGGCATCTGGAAAAGGAAGTGATGATGAACAACCCTGCAGAGTCCTACTGCTGTGATGAAGACTGCAAAGCCCAGAGACCTCGGGGGCAGCAGGAAGAGGAAGTGCCAGAGAGTAGTGGTATATCACCCCCTGCCTTTTGGCCTGAGCCACTGCAGACATGTGGCTGCATTCCCTGAATCAAAGGTAAATGTGTGTCCAGTTGTTTCTCAGTTTAATCTCTGCAGCTTAGATTACCCTGCAAAGACTGAATTGATTGAGCCTCAGGCTTTTTGATTGCCTGTACTTAGTCTGTGTGCCTGGCTCAGCTGGCTAACAGCTTGTTGGTGCTGTTGGGATTGGCACAAAGTTGTGGTGGGGGGGGAAACATTTTCTGCAGAAGTTCAACAGTGCCAGGTGATGAAATGGGAACATGTTGGTATTCATGGGCAAGCCATTCACTTGCAAAATGACAGAAGTCAGGACTTGTTCATTCTTATTAATGCAGAGCAGAGTGGGAGCATCAGGAACAGAATCAGTTAAAAGGTTTTTTGGCAGGGAGGGTGGGACAGGCGTCAGGATAAAACGGATGAACATTCGGGTGCTGGGAGGGCAGAATACTTTGCAGAGCTGACAGCAAAGTGCTGGGGCTGGCCCTGCCATGGAGAGGGGAGATTAACTGTGGGATTGTGGCTGGGGGCTCCCAGAGTCTAGAGGATGTTAGTTTTCAGAGTTCATCAATAAGATTTCCCTCCTGTGGTTTCCAAAGATGTTTATGAAAGAGATACAGGAAGGGAGGAAGATCAAACCTGCTTTAGTGGAGCCCTTCTGGTTTTATCTGTAGTTTATGAGGTGACCAGACCTTAGTGGCTCTGTTTTAACTTGTTTTGAAGCCTGGCTGTGCTTTATGACTATTGTTCTGAAATGTTTTGACAGGGGCAGGCCTCACCCATCTTGGCTCCTCAGTGGGAACCTTATTTACCAACTGTGGGGAGTCTGAGGAGCACTGAGGTATCCAGGCTTTTTCTATGGGGGAGGAGAAAGGTCCAAAGCTTCCACGTCTAAAGTCAAGCAGCAGCTGAGCTCGCATCTCTGGGGCTATTAAAGAATCCAGGATTAAAGAAAATAAACAGGAAAGCAGGCACTGTCAGTAGAATTGCCCTAAGGAAGAGACTAGTGATCCCCCTTGCCTGTTGAGGCCTTAACGAACTGATGCATTGGGATAATTGTTATGCAGTGGGAAAAGAGAGACAGGTGGCAATCACTTCATGCCATTTCCTTCTCTCATTTGTATGGACAATGCTGGCCTGGGAGTTGAGCACTCAGCAGAGGAGGTCAGGATGGAGCCAAATGCCCAGGTTTACTTCTGTTTATTTTTTTTCCTTCGGTTAGACTAATGTTTGGGCAATTCCAATTAACTTCAGTCAGTGACACCCAGTGACCTCGAGACCGTGCTGACAAGAACCAGGTGTCCCAGGAACAAGTTTAGGTCACCTGCTGCACAGCAGCCTCAAAAGAAATTGTCATGCCACCTATAGGAGAAAAGGAGGAAATGAATAAAATGTTTCCCAATTGGTGTTTGCACAGACGCTTTTGCTATTTTGTAAGTAGCAGGATTGTTATTTCTAGTTAAAGTAATTTGCCAACGGGTACCCTGGCTTTTGTGGGGGGTGGGAATATTACATGGGATGGTTCTGACCAAAAATAATCTTTTTTTTTTTTTTTCTTCTGACAGAGGACTGGGTTCTCCACTATGCTTGTGTGCGTGCAGAAGTTGTCAAGTTTTCAGCTACTAAAACTTCAGCTCCAAATCAAACAGTCTTTGGTCAAAACTATTTTGGGTTATCAAAAAGAGAATTTGGAAGGCTTCAACATCAACTTTTTTCTCATTGTTGTTAACATATTTTCTACAGAGAAGAACCAACCCCCTTTATTATAACCCTCTGCAGAGCAAACAAACAAGCAAGCAAGCAGAGAGAATTGAGCACAACTAGCTCAGACTGATTTGCTGCTGTGGTGGGATAAAGCACTCTGATGTTTGCAAATATCATGATGGCCTCTGGGAAAGTGTTTGCAGCTCCCAGACTTTGCAGACTCAGGCTGGAAGCCCACAGCTTGCCAGTCTCCTGTTTATTATCCAATCAGAGAGCACAGATAATTCCATGGGAATAATCGCATGCTACACACAGAAGATAGTCAGAGCCATTAATTCACAAACCACCATGGTCTGAAAATTACACATCCAAACTTTCTAAACAAATTATTGCATGTACCAAATAGCAGTACGATGGCAAGGAAATTGGGTGCTTGGAGCAAAGCCCACAGCAGCAGCCTGCCTTCGCCCTGTACGCAGATCTAGAGGGCACATGCCCCCCTCCATGGTTCCCTGGGAGTGCACGCTGAGGCAGAAGCTACTTTTCCCCTGTCCCTGTGCCCCCGCCAACTGAGCCGCTTACTGCTCTGTCCTGCGCCCTGCCCCAGCTGGGTAGCACCTGTTGGCACCCTTTCGTTTTGGCACCTGGGGCAGTTGCCCCCCTCGCCTCCCTTGCTACAGCACTGCCAAATAGATTCTGAGCTGATGGCGTGGGTTCAAGATTGATTTTATGCAATAATGGGTGCATCTACATGTGCAATTACTGCTATGCAATAAATTCCAGCACAGTTCACGCTGGAGTCAGCTGTTCCTGAGTGCAGCATTTACATGTGTGCTGCACTCAGGATTGCAGCAACTAGAGCAGAGGTGGAGCAGCTCCAGAGTGGCAGGGGGTGTAGGGGGTCAGCCCCAGGCTCTGGGTGGTGGCATCAGGGCTGGCTGGGGCACCAGGGCTGGCTGGGGCACAAGGGTGGTACAATACAGGGCTAACTGGCAGGCAGCCCCAGCACTGTAGCATCCTCATGCCCCAGCCAGCCCCCATCACCATCTACACGAGCGTTGTGGTGGTGTAAATTTCTGTGCCATAGTATGGTACTTGTCCCAGATGGTACTATCCTACAGTGGAGTTAGTTAAATTACTGTGCCCTAATATGGGTGCATGCATGATGCTTTATGGCAGAGCTATTAGTCAACGTTGCAGTAAAGCACATGTGTAGATGCACCCAATGATACCAAAATTAATCACATTTTGGGGTCAACAATATGATTTGACCAGTTTTACTCCTACCTAGTTAATTATTGCAAGAAGCCAAAGGCAAGATGGAACAATTTATCATCAATCAGATAGAGGCAGGCAATGAAAAACTGCCCTGAGAGATTCTGGAAAGGTTGGAAACTGTCCAGCAATGAGCAGCTAGAAGAGCAGCTGGACCAGACCGGAACTGTCCTCAAAAAGTCAGACCAAGGTGTTTGTGCATTCCTAAGGACCATGGGAGAAGCCAGCTCCTGGGAAAGTGGTGGGGTGCTTTGGGGATGATTCTGTTTAGGGGAGGCATTTCCACGGGTTTGTTATTGGAAGGATGATATTAGCTTGATGCTCCCAGCTGGGAACCATCCCCAGCCACTCTAATCAAGCCCTTTAAGCCTGATACTTATTCCTCACAATGCCAATCCTCCTTCCTTCACTAAGCAGCTGCCCAAAACACCTCAGTCCAGAGGCACAGGAGACCACAATGTTCTGTTCGTGGGCATGGCAGAGTGGTGTTTATGGAAGGTTCTGCTCTCTGGCTTTGCTTTGTAAGGGGGAGTGGGATCATGTAAAATTAAAGAGAATGAAATTAATTTTGTAGTGACCTTTTCCATACAACTGGGGAGTTGTGCTTCACATTCCATGGGAGAGCTCATCCATGGCGCAGCGCATTCCAGGCTTCTCTTCAATCTGGCATGCGGGTAGCCAAGCCTGATGTGTTGCTCTGGGGGGAGAGAAGGGGCTGGAGTGGGAAGCAGAAGTGTGCCTCTGCCACTAACTAATATGGAATGAATACCATCTAATTAGACACACGCGAGCTACAAGCAACGGCTGCTGCTTTCTTCTCCTTAGTGTTTTCTTTATTAAAATGTTGCAGATACAGATTAACTCTCTTGGTTTAATATTTATTACCATGCAGACAAAACTGCAGGCACTTTACTCAAATGAAAAGGAAATTCTTTCACTCCTGCAAGGTAGTTTCTACTAATGGGTCTATAAGCTCTAAAAATGACAAGGCTCATGTGACGCTCTCTGCCACCCACAGCAGAAGGGGGTTTCTTCCTCAGTCTCTGCTGACGGAAACTGCATTCTCACACAAAAGGTTATAAGCGTTCCCTGCCTTACACAGGAACCGATAGGCACTGTACTTAAAAGACAGACTTTAAAACGGACATCTCCTGAATGTTTGGCAGGTGGGAGAATGGACCTGCTGTTTTTGATCCTGCTGAAGTGCCCAGATATCTTGCAGCTTAATTAGACATCTGAACAAGTCCTTATCCACTCCTCATAATGTTATAGAGAAGCTGACAGTGACTGATAGAGCTGGGTAATGGGATTACAGGGTTTTTTAGCCCCTTGAACATGTGCAGGGCTAGGACAGGGGAGGGAGTAGGAGATGGGATGTTCTGCTTTTGTACTACAGCTAAAACATAGATTTGAGAGAAAGAGGACTCTGGGCTGGGGATTGTGTTAGAGTTTTAGACAACGATTTGAGAATCTTCTAACCTCTGTTTTTTGTCACTGATGATATAGGAAGTTTCCCTTTGAGACCGTTACTCAGGATTCTTCCTTAGGCAGAATATCCTAAGACAAACAAGCACCTCTGGCGCACAAAGCTTCCCTGCTGAGGGGTGGGATGGATCCACAGTCCATCCCACCCCTACTTATTTAGACCCTTTACCTCTGTTACAACTACAGTGTTAGTGGTAGGAGCAGAATATCTTGAATGTGACAATTCATTGAGCCCAACGCAATGAAAGGCAACGTGATGGTGGTATGAATTGGATACTTCTGTACTGGGTACAAGCTTTCTGGGGTATCTCCATTTCAGAAGACTCTGTTGGTTTAGGAACAGACATGGGAGAAAAGCTGATACCCAGCACAGAGGTTTATTTAGCACTCCATGCCAGTGAGAAACCAGCTGTCTCGGGGATCATAGAATCACAGCCTAGCCAAGGTCTTAAAAACCTCTAAGGACAGAGATTCCACAACCTGTCTGGGTAACCTGTTTCAGAGTTTTACTACCTTCCTAGTAAGAAAGTTTTTCCCGATTTCTAACCTAAGCTTCCCTTGCTGCAACTTGAGACCTTTGCTCTTTGTTCTGTCATCTGCCACTACTGAGAACAGTCCAGCTCCATCCTCTTTCAAACCTCCCTTCAGGTAGTTGAAGGCTGCTATTAAATCCCCTCTCAGTCTTCTCTTCCCCAGACTAAATAAACCCAGCTCCTTCAGCCTCTCCTCATAAGTCATGTGCCCCAGCCCCCTAACTGCTTTTTCATAGGCTCCTTCTGGACTCTGTCCAACTTGCCTACATCCTTTCTGTAGTGGTGGCCCAAAACTGGACACAGGACTTCAGATGTTGCCTCACCAGTGCCAAATAGAGGGGAATAATCACTTCCCTCAATCTGCTGGCAACACTCCTAACAATGCAGTATACTGTTAGCTTTCTGTGCAACAATGGCACACTGTTGGCTCATCTTCAGCTTATTGCCCACTGTAACCTCTAGGTCCTTTTTTGCAGAGCTGCTGCTTAGCCAGTCAGTTCCCAGCCTGTACTGGTGCATGGGGTTGTTTCATCCTAAGTGCAGGAATTTGCACTTCTCTTTATTGAACCCCATGAGATTTCTTTTGGTCAAATCCTCCTATTTGTCTCTGAATCCTAGCCCTACCCTCCAGCATATCTACTACAACCCCACCACAGCTTGGTGTCATCTGCAAACTTGCTGAGTGTGCACACTATCCCATCTTCCAGGTCATTGATGAAGATATTAAAAAATCAGCCTCAGAACTAACCCTTAGGACACTCCACTTGATACCAGCTTCCAACTAGACATTGAACCATTGATTGCTACCCTTTGAATCTGATGATCCAGCCAGTTTTCTATCTATTCATCCAACCCATATTTTCTTAGCTTGCTTACAAGAATGTTGTGGGAGACCATATCAAAAGTCTTGCTAAAGTCAAGGTATACAATATCAACTGCTCTCCCCATCCACAGAGCCAGTCATCTCATCACAGAAGGCAATCAGGTTGGTCAGGCATGACTAGCTCTTGGTGAATCCATGCTGACTGTTCATAATCACCTTCTCTTCCAAGTGCTTAGAAATGGATTCCTTGAGGACCTGCTCCATGATTCTTCCAGGGACAGAGGTGAGCTTGACTGGTCTGTAGTTCCCTGGATCCTCCTCCTTCCCTTTCCTAAAGATGGGCACTATATTTGCCCATTTCCAGTCACTTGGAACCTCTTCTAGTCGCCATTAGTTTTCAAAGCTAACAGCCAGCAGCTCTGCAGTCACATAGGCCAACTCCCTCAGCACCCTCAGGTGCATTGTGTCTAGCCCCATGGACTAATATACTTCCAGCTTCTCTTAATAGTCCCCGTGGGCGAGGGCCTTCTCAGTGCCTGCTGCTTTAATTGCCATCTCCCTCTTACTTGCCTGCCATGCCTCAATGGGAGAAAAAGAATATAGAAGTGGCCAGTGTGATAGCAGACATCTGGTGAACCACCCCTTACACCCTGTCGATGCCCAACCCATATCCAGTTAACCAGATGGGTTTCTCTTCAGATATAGGGACCATTACCCAGCTTGTTTCCTCAGCGGCTTGGTTCCACCTCTCAATGCTTCCTTTAGGTGGGGTCCACCGTTTTATGCTTGCTCTCAAAAATGACACTATGAAGCCTCCCCTGTCTGAGCTCTACGTATAGCAGTCTTTACTCACGTGAGCGTTCTCAAAGAAACTTCTTGTGGACAATAGTCTCTTCCCGTCACTCCTCCCAGGGTTCACTGTCCCCACAGAGAACTCACCACAGCAGTCTGCTTGTCAGGATATGTCCGGGCTCTCCACACTGGCATTCCCCTTTTTCTGCTCCAGGTCTCTGCATGGATTCAGCACAGCTTGCTTCAGCTGCTCCTGTGTCCCCTCTCTAGGGGCATCAGCACTCACCGGCGATTGTCTTTTAGCAGGTTCTTCCAGCTCGCAGGACCAATCAGCAATGGCTCCTGTGGCAGACTCTTGTGTTGCCAGAATTCCCGTGGGCGTCTGATGTCATCGGATGTGGGTTTAGTGAGACGGGTTTGCCGCAGGTAAGGGTTCCTCCGCTGCTTGAAACAGGGGCTGGTAATGGTCCCCGGTTACAGCCCCTAACCCAGAAGTGGGTAAAATATGGCCTGTGAGCTATATTCAGCCTCCCAGTTGTTTCTATCTGGCCCTCTGGCTGCCACCAGGAGCCAAGAGTCTGAGGATGGAGGGCTGTGCCTAGGGCTGTCCATGGGGGGTAGGTGAATTGGGGCGACTGTCCTGGGCCCTGTGCTTTAGGGGGCCCTGTGGAGCCGGGTGGAGCAGCACAGCGACTACGCACTGCTGCCAGCTTCATGTCTGGCCACTCAGCACTCCCCTCTGCACCCCCTCAAATCCAGTGTGTCCAGCCACTCAGCACTCCCCCCCCCACCAAATCCACTGCGGCTTCCTTGCGTCTGGGGACGGGGCTCCGCACAGGCTGATTTTCCGCAGGCCCCACACCCTGCTGAGGTTGTCTCTGGCTGCGGTCCGTTCTGTCGCAGCCAGGGCTGAGCTGGACCGCACGGTGCACAGGCTCCTCCGTGTCCACCCCTGCCTCCATCCCCCCTGTACACATCACCCCCACCCAGCTTCCTCTTGGTGCTGCAGCTGTGCAGTCCTGGCACCGCAGCTGCTGGCAGCCAATCCCGCAAGGTATGGGGCGCAATGCAGCGCACTGCATATCTGTCCCACCCGCCCGCTAGCTGTTTGAAGAAAGCCTCATCCACCTCATCCTCCTGGTCTGGTGGTCTATAGCAAACCCCACCACAACATCACCTTTGTTGCTCTCCTCTCTGACCTTAACTGAGAGACTTTCAACCGGCCTATGTCCAGTTTCATACTGGAGCTCTGAGCAATCATACAGCTTTTTTACATAAAGTGCAACTCCTCCTCTCATCCCCTGTCTGTCCTTCCTGAATAGTTTATACCCATCCGTGACAGTGCTCCAGCCATGCGAGCTATCCCACCAAGTCTCTGATATTCCAATCACATCATAGTTGAGTGACTGTGAGGACTTCCAATTCCTCCTGCTTGTTTCCCAGGCTCCGTGCATTTGTGCACAGACACGTGAGGTAACTAGCCGATTGCCCTAGTTTCTTAGGAAGAATGAGAAGGCTTCGCTGTTCCCCCTCCTGCTTCTGCTCCCTCCAGGTCACCTGCTTCCCTATTTGCCTCAGGATGCCTCATCTGAGAGAATATTAGTACATTCAATTCTAGGCTTTTCTTTTTGGGAAGGTGCTCTCACAGTTCACGGCCATGTATACATTGGCCGGGTGCTTCATTCTTTTCACAGGTTCATCCCTTTGACAGGCCTGGCTTTTAAGTGGGCTCCACTGTATATGAAGTTAATTGTCTCTTTTTATCATTGAACCCTTGTTTGTGTTTGTTACTTATGTTCCTAAATCAATCTCTCTCGGGCATTCCTCAGATTCACCTTATCACACTCAGCATTACTTCGCAGGCAGTGGCTGTGGATAGATTATTTGCTAGTAATTACTGTCTGCCTTGCAGATACAGCCGCCTTTGATCTGCTGCTTCATTGAAAAAACAGGTCTTTTTTTTAAAACAGCATTTATCACAGAAGCGACGCTGTATGGTGAAGGGGTTTGTGGTCAGCGGGAAGCCACTGTCTTTGTCATCATCAAACCACCAGCTTCTCCTTTCCACTCACAAGCAGTCTCAAAAGAAATAGTGGATAGGTAAATTCATAACTAGAGCTCTTCCCCTCTCCTCTCTAAAGGCTTTTAGAAAGACAGGCACATGTCCCTTACATCAGACAGCTTCTTTCTGGGCTGTCAGAACAGGCCTTAGGGTTGAACAACTTCAATTACCTGAGGATGGAAGCAATTGGAAATGCAAAAAGTTCCTGAGTTTGGTTCAGATGTACATCCCAAAGTTCTCCTGCTTCTCCAAATTGACTTGATTTACAAACTAGCCTGCAAATCCCTGATCCTTTATGGTTTCCTAGGTCAGTCTGGCTGCATCTCAGACAGACTCACCTGCTCAAAGTTTGGTGTTGGCCAAGTCCAGCACGTGCAGAAATGGCAGAAATGAAGGTAAAAGCAAACACTTGTTCAAATCCCCAGAAAAGCTGGAGCTCAAGTGTTTTCTTATTTTCTCTGTATGGCTTTTCCCATCTCTGTAAGGACCAGTTCTCTGGAGTACCCCAGTCTGTGGCCCCCCAGGATCACTGTGGTTGTCAGTGCTGCACACTGAGCACTTGCAATTTCAGAACTGTGAGCAGGATAGATCTGAGATCCACCTGCTCTGAACGTGCTGCTCCCTGCCATGTGAGCTTATGGAGCCACTCCACTAAGTACTAGAGGTGTTGGACATATGACACACAGCTGACAAGTTCTGGAGGCAGAGGGACATGAATGCCCACAAGATTGCTAATTACAGGGTTTTCTTGTTACAGCAAGTCTGGGCATAGAAAGGGGGAGCCTCTGGGGGGCAGGGGGCTCATAAGGTCCTGAGGCAACTGAAGAAAGCTGGGAGGCTCTGGGGAAAGTGTTTTATCATCAGTAATGGGACCCCTTGGTGGGTGAGTGAGGTTAACAAGGAGCATGGTGCAATGTGTAAGGAGAACTGAGTGCTGTGCTAGGGGATGGGGTGAACAGAAGATACAGCTAAATCAGGCAGAAAGCAGAAGAGAAAAACATGGGATGAGAAAACCCCACTGAAAAGATGAGCAAACAGCTCTAGTGATCTCTTCATGCAGGGAGCTCTGGAATTGCAGCTGGGCCAGTTTATATAGAAAAAGAAAGCTGTATGCATTGTACTATGTATACTCTGCTCCTTGTTGGGGGATGGTTAGGTAGTGCTAGTAAGGGCACTGATGTTTGTGCTCCTGTCTTTATTACTTTTAGGAGTACCTTGGTAATACAATTGGGGGATGCCTTTTATCGCTGTGACCCCTCCACCCTAGACTGGAAATGAGGTTGGGTCAGGGTCTTGTTCCCTTCTGTAAGAGGGCTGAGAGAACTGCAGCATCCTTGCTGAAAGCTTTGGTGTGATGTCACTGTGTACAGGTCCCAGCTCTGCTCTGCCTGCAGCTTGTGTTACCAGCTCCCATTTTACTGTGATTTGAAGGTATGTCTTATCTCAGCTGGACATACTTTAGGAGGCACTGCTTAAAATACATGCTGCTCACTGAGCTCCTTAATTGCTTTTTATTGTAGAAATATTATAGAACAAGGTTTAAGTAATGGCAGGGAGAACAATGCAAAGTAAGGCTGAAGTAGTAGAGACATATCCTGTGGAACGATGTCTAGTCTTTGTAAGAGAGGGCAACCAAAAGGAAGACTTCCAGAAAACAGTTTTTTTACACAAGTCCACAAACTCTGGCTTCCAGGCAGGTTTGGATTCCTGATGCTGTTTGAGGCTGCCTCACATTTAGAGACAGGAAGAATGTCCACAAACAGGTACACAAATGAAAATGGCATTTACTTCAGATTTGTTTGTTTCCCACAAAGATCCTAAAGGATATGGTCCCTGGCAGAAATGGGTGAAAAAATGTATAATTCTAAAGAGCATTTGAACTAGATGAGGTCAGTGCGTACTCTGGCTGGAAACCTGATCAGAAGAGTTATGCTCAACTAGTCGTGGAACCGAAACAATGCTGTGTGAACTATGTCCAATCAAAGCAAATTGCACAGAGTAGAACTTCAAGTGCTAATACCAAACATTCAGTGATTTGCTCACAAACCAGCTTGATTTCAAGAATTATCCTCAAAAATCTCCTGGCAAATAATTTTGAGTGATGATTAAAATTGAGAAATTCATGATGCTTGAGCAAAATTCACAGCCAGAATAAGACCAAATTCTTCAGATGATTTATTCTTCCCTAGCCACAACTTAGCAAAGTCAGAGGAAGTGAAAATACTGGGTGAATTATGGGTACTGGTTGACTTTTGGAAGGAGGTTATGAGATTCACACTGACCAACCATGCTGAAAAGGGCATTTGGAAGAGCACTCATTATCTCCTTTCTCCAGAGTGCTAATTGGGGTGAGTGAATGGGTTTTGGAATGATGCTGCCACTTAAACCTGTGCGGGTCAGTGGCTCTTTGACCAGTGAACAGCAGTGTATTGATGGCAGGCTCTTTTCCATAATGTGACAAATTCTTGCTGGATCTTGAAATACCTCTAAAAGAGGGTTTCTTCCAGCAGAAATGCAATCGCTAGAAGTCATGCTTTCAAAACTGGGGCTTATGGAACTTGATAGTTAGATAGAGTTTGGTACCCTGAAAGCCTAACAAAAAAACAGTTGACCTTCATTATCTACCTATGCCATAGTCCCAGTCACTATATATGAGTCTCTCTGATCCATTTAGCTAGAAGAAGAGTAATTTTGCACCATAGGAGTCCAGGAGGCAAACGACTTGAAATGGGGTAGAGGCTGAAAAGGGGAGTTGATGCCCCCTCAGATAATGTCCCTAGCTCAACACTGCACTGGCTGAAATCACAGCCTCACCATTTAACAGTGTACAGCTCACAGAGATGAAAAGGGAAGGCAGACAAGGAGGAAGAGCAAGAAAGAGGAAGAGGAGAATCATAGGAACATGGAGCGATTTGGGCGGGGGAAGCTGAGAGAGATGGGCAGTTCAGTAACCACAGCATTCTTGTGTGTAAAGACCGGGATCTACCTACCTCTCACATGGATGTTAAATAATGTGGAGACTGGAGAGTGTGTAAGTGGGATCTGGGGTGTGGCACATTACACATCACATCTCCACCGACTATGAAAAATGTAGCTGAACATTGTGTATTTTGTTAGGGCTGGCAGAAATTTGACCCTGGGAAGTTGGGGATCTTACAGTATACGTGCACAGTAGGAACCCTCAGCAGCCAGTCAGAATCTCTGTCATAATGCCCATTTTAGAAATGTATATATCTGTCTCACATTTCCCCATTTCCTGTGGTAAACAGGGTGAGACACAGAAAACCTTGAGCTCTCCCGGAAACCATCCAGTCTGACCACAGAAATGCTCCAGCAAGATCTTTAAAGCTGGGAGAAAACAAAGGAATGAGCTACCCCAAGGAAAATGCATTTTAGACAGGAATGAAAGTAGGTTCTCACTAAGGGATTCAAGGTATCCCAGCAAGATCTATGTTAATCCTGGGTCAGTGATTTGGGAGGAAAACGCATTGTATTCTGGAAAGCTGTGGACACTACAGTTTCACACATTTTATGTGTATGTACTATGTAGTGCCTTTAAAATCATCACCTGATTCTTAGAGAGGTGATTATACATAAAGACGCATACAAGCAAAGGGCCAGGCCTCTGGGAAGACCTAAAGGAGGACGTAACAGTGTCCTGGAGGGAGTAAAGCAGGGTTAGAGGTAACTGTGGATGTTAGAACCTGACTTTCATTGTTGCAGGACTGTAAAAAGGGGACCCTCACTCTTTCTGAAAAGAGATATGGCAATGGTTGTTTATTTTTCACCTGAGTCACTCCCAGAGGGCTGGTGAGGTCTTGGTTTAGTGTCTCCTCTAGATCAGGCTGGTACATAACCTAGATACAGCTTGCTAAAGGCCTGGCTGGAAGTGAGACAGACAGGTCTTTTGATACAGACCTGAAGCTAAAGAGATTGCAAATACAGTAATCTTCAGAACTTCCCACTGGGGTGTTAGCTTTAAGGTTGTAAATACATTGAAATCAAAGACCCAATAAAACATGCAAATAGCTGTGCATGTGTGTCTCACCTTCCCCCATCCTTGCCCCTCTCTCCCTTCCTCCAATTTACTATCTTTCAATCTCTCTTCCTTCATCTCTCCCCCCAGTCTGTTTGGAGGAGGGAGTGATTCTTTAAAAGACATTTTTGTGGTTCTGGGCAGCAAATCAAAAAATCTGCTTTTGTTCCCTTCGCTCTGCCCCCTCTCCCCTGCTGCAAACTCAGAGACACGTCACCTCAAACCTACACAGCCATCAACATAAACACTAATTAAGACATTCTCAGTGATGTTTGGTGTCAGAAATTACCAGCCTTACAAAAAGGATGCTGCTGTGCAGCAATTCATGGTGTCAGTTTATCCTTTTGTGGTAGTTGTGATAACGTGTACCTTCTCTTCCAGCTTCTGTTAAGCCTTTCACTCTATTGTGCTCCATGCTGTGGGTTTGGGGTTTTCAGCCCATATGGAAAAACAATACAGTCTCCATAGACTCATCCATGTGTATATGTGTAATCTGTGACAAATAGAAACAGCAAGCAGAATATTACATAATGACCCAAATGTGATGCACGTTTTAAATACAATGTGTGCGTGCACTTTAAGTACATTAATTTATCTAATAACCTCAGTGCCATGTGGGTCACCTCAGTGTCTCACCCTCTGGGCCAGCAGGGGTGGGTAAGCACCTGCTTAAATCTTGTTATGGGAAGGGCTGCATTACTGCTGCCTCTGTATCACTCTCTGGAGGACACAGTGATGGCCAGGCATAGACTCTAGAGTCAAAGGAGCCTGCGTTCAGTTCTCCTAATCTGGAAAGGAAGGTTGCCACAGAGACAGAGCTTCAGGGGAAGGTGGAGAAGCAGACATGGGTGTTCCAATTCTTCTACCCTCCAGGTAGAAGTACTGTCTCTCCCAACATTGTCTTTTGAACATACATAGACTTTCTGGAGCCACGGATTCCAATTCTGGCAGGAATAAGCCAGCTCTCAAATCATCCATGTGACTGCCATGCAAACTCCTCTGCTTGAGTGCAGTAGGTGCACTAATGAGGAATCTTTCATACAAGGTTTTGATACCCAAACTCCTGTCTGCTCATGGTGGATACTTTTTATGATTTAGAGATGGAAAATCCCAGCTATACTACCCAGTCTCCTATATCCATAAGTACTAGTGTTGTCCAGTCCCAAATGACATTCCATCCTTACCCAAGGACACTATTCCTCATTGTTATGAAATTTTCCTGATATGCAGCCTACATTTCCCCTTGCGAAAAAGTACCACCCCGTGTCTTATTATATCTTCTTTTACCAGCTTAAATAATATCTTCTTTTGGTGCCAAAACCCTTCAGATAGTTGTTTACCAGTGTAATTGCTCTCTCAGTCATTTCTTACCCGAACCAGACAGATCTAGTTTTTTTTTTTAACCTTTAGTTATAAATGAATCCCTCCAGCCACCTATTCACTTGTGTGACTTCTCTCAATTTATCAATGTCTTGTTGGTAATGGCATGCCCAGAAATGTACACAGTATTCCATGTAGGGTTGTGCCAGCGCCTTGCAGAAGGACTGTTACCAGGCTGCTCTGTGATGACTGTACGTTACAACCAAAATTACTTTGGCCTTTTCAGTTGTCTTGTCACACTGAGGCTTTTTTTTCTAATTTGCTGACCATTAATGTTCCAAGAGCTCTCTTAGTCTAACAGCCTACAGGGTTCTCCCTCCCTTGAGATGTGTATTTTGGATGCCTTTACATCCTAGGTACATTAACTTATATTTTTTCCTAACAGAATCATTTTATTTTCTTCATGTTTCCAATCAGTCTCCTTTTCTTTCATTTTTTTTCCTTTTGCCCTCAGTAATATTTGCAAATCCTCACATCACAGTATCTTCTGTGAATTTCATTAACATGCTGTTTACAGTCTCTGCCAGATCATTAAGGAAGATGTTAACTAACCACCCCTGCAATATTCCTCTTAGACACTGTTGACACCTCCCACCCACTCACAGCTTCCACCCCTGAACTGATATATGGAGTTTGCCATTTACCCTCTGTTCATCTCAGGATTGTTCACATTCATGCTGGTTTAAAGGAATTTTAAGAATATTCTCATGAGATCTTGTACCAAGTGTCAGTATATCTAAACACATTGCACCTATCATTTCTCAGCATTGATTTTGCTATATTTGGGAAAGCAATAGAGCACTTCTGGGGAGACCTATTGTTTGTAAATGAATGCTGCTGCTGCAGCTCATATTCTGTTAATCTCTAGAGAGTCTGTGGGCTTTTCCCTCTTAATATTTGTTTCATTATTTTGTGAGGTAAGGGATTTAGTGAATGGAAGGCCAGCTGTCAGGGTCACTCTTTCCTTTTTAAAATTTCGTAGTGCGTTTTCCGTGGTCTTCTGATACTTTTCCACTTATCTACATTGTCTTAAAAGAAGCCAGTGGCAATGGAATTTCAGTGCTGTGAAGTGCTGGGTACCCTCCTCTCCCATGATCATCAAGAAGAGCTGAGGGTGCTTGACACCTTTTGGATCAGGCCTTTTGCTAAATAATTACCATATGTCCTAGGGTACATCTGATTCTGACTGCCTGAACTATATCTGATGAGATTTTCAGAGTATTGTTTTATCAGCTCTTTATTGATAGTTATTTTTACAGTCTTGTTTACTGCCTTGTCCAAACAAATTTTATTTCTTTGTGAAGACAGATTAAAATGTCAAGTTCTGTATCTCTCATCCATTTTTTGAGTCATCATTCATTTAAAACCCATAAATGATGAAACATTCTTTGTAGTGTTCTTCCTACCAACAGGTCCTGAGGAAAGAAAGCAGTCCTACTCAGGACACATCCTGTGAAAACCAAGACTTGTTGGGGCTTTGTAGATGGACCTTGTCATCTACAAAGTGTTCATCTGGTCTCTAGAGGTCTCAACGTCTCTCTGTGTCTATATTTTCTGATCTTGTTTTTTTTTTCTGCCTTATGCTTTTCCTTGGGAACTAGTTTTATTTGGTTACCCTCTCATGGTTGCTCTCTCAGAGGTATGACTAGTCCCTCATGAAGCTGTCAGTTCTGATTTCTTGCATTCTTCTTTTTCAGAGGACTGGTTATTGCATCTCTGAAAACCACTGAAGGATTCTGATACTTCCTGCCATAAGCCTTGCTTGCTGAATTTCCTAGTTCCATTAAACTTGTATTGCTGCATTTTGGTGTCCTTCCATTCCCAACTGTTGTGATTCAAGTACTGCACACAGAGGCTGTGTCCCCACAAACAGGGGCATCCAGTTGCCACAGGGAAAAAGCAGTGGTACAAATTTGTGCTGTCCTCTTTTGCTCTGGCACATGCCCCTGCATGTGGGGTTAGTGTGGGGAAAAATGCTGGGGGTGGGGTAGGGGAGGCTAAGGCCAGTAGCTGGGCTGGCTCCAGCAGCCTTATCTGGTGTCCTTGGGGCCTCCAGCGGTGGCAATCTGTGTGTGTGGAGCCTGGCCAGCAGCTGGCAGCTGGAGCGTGGCTCTGGCCAGCCAGGGTCCGGTTTTGGGTGGCACACATTGCTGCCACATGCACTGCCCCACTTTTTTTCTGCATGCCTTTTTTTTATACCAGGATCTCCTGGTACCTAAATTTGGCTCTGTGCTGCAAATATGCAGTGTGAAGAACCAAATCATGTGCATGGGATGCGTTTTGTGGCACCTCAGAAGCCTTTCAGGCACTGCAAAATGCACATGCACACTCATGCAGATACGGCCATACTGCTCTAAGTTTGGTGCCCTCACCTCCTCAGTCAGTTCCTTCCTAATACTCAGTGGACAACCTGGATTAGTTTCTCCCAGGGTTGGAATTTCTAAGTTAAATTCATGGCCTGGGATTGTTTCCCTTAAACCTGTCTATACTCACTGTACCAATGTATCAATAGATTAATTATAGCACATGTGGTAAAGAGCCAAGAAAAAATGGTCATTCAGATAGGATGCAGACCATTTTAATTTACGTCTTCCTTCAGCTTATCTGAGTGTAAGTTATATCATCTGAGACACACCAGCATGTCTGTAGGGAGGGTGCAATTAGATCTTGAGGAGTCTGAGTGAAAGACAGTCTAAATTATAGTAAAGGGAGCTCACTTATGTCACTCTGCATCTCTGAATTTGGATTTCAGGTTTGGGGTCATAATACTGATGCTTTCCAATGCCTTTTGCCTGGCTATATGCGTTATCCAATGGGTACTGGAGTAGTCTGACTCCCCATGTCTTACATCCTGGGCAGTCAAATATCCCATGTCATTTTTGAAAGAGCCTGGAGTTTTGTAACCTGTCTTGGTCTAAACTCACTCTTTGCTTTATTTTACCTGCTGCTGCATGTTGCTTCCCCTTTGGTTGAAGCTTTGTTTCAGAGGGGGTTACTCAGATTCCTTTATGTATGTTCCAGAAGCTGAAAAGTGATTTGTGATAAAATGTGCTATATGAATTCTCATGGAAAGGGGTAAGATGTGTGATAATTCATAGAGCTCAGCACAGAATGTAGAAATAGCAAAAAAACCTCCTAGGTATCTAAGTCCATACCTTTGGGACCAATGCAGATTATTCTCTACTGTTTTTTAAATTTATTATTTTATTTAGGTGGGTTTTAAATAACTCCAGCAATGGGTTTTCTACACTTCCCTTGGGAGACTATTCTAGTCTAGTAGATTTCACTATTAAGCAGTTTTTTCTGATGTTCAGCCTAAATTTCCGTTTGCTCTGTTTTATCCCATTACTCCTTTGCTATAAAATTTTTCAAGTAATTTAAATATGAAGTGGCTGTGGAATACATTTTGTGATGCAGATCATCACTTGATGAGGAAGTGATTGTTCATTATGAGAAACAGTGGGCTACATGGCGCTGGAGGAGGGGGGCAGTGAGTTGGAGAAAAGCAGAGGTAGATCATTAGCAAATGCTGGATCTCCATGTCTGTTCAAGGGAGTTATCCTCACAATGTGTACCTCTGGCATGAAATGAGACATTTTAGGAATAAAATGGAGGCTTTTAGGGGTAAATCCACGCAGACTATCCCCAGGAGTAGTGTTGTAGTTTTTAATTATAGTAAAAGGGGTGGAAGGAAACAGGTCATTGTGTATGTGTGTGTATAACAGTACAGAGCAGATCCTAAATGCAGTCTGAAAAACCTGGTCTGACAGCTGCCCTCTGGCTGTATGAAAAGTTTCTGAATACATTGCAAGGGAAAATCCTCCCAACTGATTTGGAGAAATCCCTCACACAGAAAGAGGGCACTGAATTGGGTTACATACTTTTTGAAGAGCTGCTGAGACTCTTGCAAACTCATTACATATGGTGAGTCATTTAATATCTAAGCCAGCTGTCCCTCCACAAAACTTCAAAGGGAAGTAGAACAGCTCTTTCTTGCCAGACCAGTTGAGAGTTGTCCAAGTCCTGCATCATCTCTTCTGTATCTGTTGCTCACCCCTATGCTTCACACAGGCTGCATGCTGAAGTTCTGGTCTCCATTCTTTGCATGTTTGTGTCCTTGGGCAGCACAAGTATACCTCTTACTTACAGTTCTGTACCTGGGCTACATGTGCATTTATCTCTGGACCACGCTGCACGCAGGCCTAGTGTACAGAGTCTTATAAGAATTGCTTCTCCTGATGTGTGGTATGTGAATCCTTTTGACAGGTGGTAGGGCTCAGTCCATCACAGCTTGAGCTCTCAGTTCTTCTACCCTCATGGTAAAAAGTATGAACACTAACAGGTGCTCCTGAGCCATGCGTTATCTTGATGCTGGAACACAGCAAGTTGGTCTCTACTGGGAATTACTGAGGGGGATTGAAGATGCGGGTGGATGTCAAAGCCGTTACCAGACCTCTCATTTATCCCTTTTCTATGCTTCAACCTGTTGGCTAAGGAAACTGCAGAACTGAAACTGCATGGAAAGGTCTTTGAACCTTCTCTTTTCCTCTGTTCCCCAGCCCCAAATACCAAGTTAGGATTTCCTCCTTTTCCAGTGACACATATGTTGTAGAGATCTAGGCCATGAGCCCCTACAGGTGGTCCCACACTGAAGTACAAACAGAGCAAGCACCCCTTGGTTAACTTGCAAGTGTAAGGGAGAAGCAGAAAGTCAGTAAGACCTCAAGTAGTGAGAGAAGGATGACTTAATTCCTATACACCTGTGTTACAAGTGGAAACCGTAATCATGGAAGCCATCGTGCCCTATCTCATACTTCCAGATGCCTGTCAAAGTTTGGAAAAGGCCTTCAGAGCCTTGGATTTTCAAAAGAAAAGTGACACATCTTTTCTTTAGCTGCCTCTTTCCAGTTGGTTCTTATCCTGGCAACAGCTGAAAAATCCTCATTCCCAGCTCACTCCAAAATAGCAAGCCTTCTTTACTATTCCCAGGGAGCCACTAACATCCTTTGGGAATCATTCAGTTGTACTGGTCATTAGGAGCGGCTCCTGTGGTCATGACTGTGAACATTTTTCCAGTAGCACCAACAATGGCTAAGGTGTCTAAATTCCATGGCTGTGTAGTTCGAGATGGATATACCAAGCAAGTACAGCCATGGAGATGGACAGGTCAAACAAGTATAATTGAACTTCCTGTCTCCTCCTTCCTCTTTAAAAATAGAAAGCTATGAATTAATAGCAACATTTGTTACTTAGTTAAGTTTGAATCTGCAATGTTAAAATCAAAAGTCAGGAAATGTCAGAGTTAATGGAGCAATGGTAAAATGAAGTCTGATGTCTGCACTGGTGCGGTGTGTGGTAGAGTTCTGTTCTCCTATGTAATAATCAGGGATCTGGGTTTTCCTTTCTCCACAGTAAAACACAGATTTTCTCATTTTAAGGAGAAAAACTCTGGTTTCCTCTTTTTACGGAGAACAACACAGGCAATGGCAGGTTTCCCTTTGCAGGCTGGCAGAGATCCAGCCTGCAAGGGGCTGGGGGGGAATAGGAGGAGGGGGATCAGTCAGGGGCTGCCACATGCACGTGTGCGCATACACATGCATGAAGCAGCCAGGCAGTGTAGAGAGCAGCTTCTGCAACTCTCTGTAGGTAAGTCTGGGTGGGGGATTGAAGCCCCCATAGGGAGGGGGATTTGGGCAGGGTTGGGGTTGGGGCTGCTGTCCAGACAGGGCAGTGCATGGGGGTTGGGGCTTGGAAGGAAATGTGTGGCTTCAGGACCAGTGTGGGGAATGGGGCAGAGCTGCTCATCCAGCAGGTGGTGGTGGGGTGGGTCCCTGTCACTGTGCAGACTCTCAGGAGCGGCATGGGAGGCACATGCCCCCCCCCCAGATTTGTGCATGGGGCGGGGGAATGCAGGCTGGGGTCTGCAAGCTCAGGGCTCCATGACCTGCTGCCCTCCCCCTGGGGGCCTCCACAGCCTGGCGGGTGGAATCTTGCATAGCAGATCATGGCAGAGAGGCTCAGTGCCACTAATGGGAGCCTTCATTGCTATGGCAAGGTGCCCCTGCTCTCCTGGCAGCAATGGGGAGCACAACTCTGCACCGCCCCCCTCCCCTACTCCTGATGGGTAGGGCAGGGAGTGCCTCATCATGGTAGCATGGGGCTTCTGGTGGTGGCACCAATCCCCACTCTGCCTTGCCACACTGAGTCAAACCCACGGGGCCATGGAGGCCCCTGGGAGGATGGCAGCAGGGTGGGGAGCCCCAAGCCTGCAACGGGCAGCCCATATCTGCCATATCTCCCATAAGCTCTGCTCCACCCATGCCACCTGTGGGGGAGGGGGAGCCAGGGTCTGCTCTGGCTATAGCAACCACTGCTTCCCACGTGGCAGCTAGTGCCTGGGTGCTGCTGGGGAGGCAGGGGGCTGCAGACCTGGGTCCCTGGCCCTGTAGCCCTGGCAGCCGGGGGCCCCTTCTGGCAGGGCTGGGAAGGCTGGGGGGGAGGGGTGGTTGTGGAGTGAGGGGCACTGGCAGGGCCAGGGGTTTATGGGTCAGGAGTGAGGGGCAACGGCACAGGCAGAGCACCAGCATATCAAGGCTGCTCAACACCACAAGGCAGTGGCAGGCGACAGCTGCCGCTGGACCTATGTCCTGGTGAGAGAAGGGGGCAGGGGGAGCGCTGATTTTTCCATGATAAAACCCCCAAAATCAAATGCCCAAATTATTAGAATTTATTTTATTATAGTGACTGAGGCACTGGTAGGCTTCTAAATTGCTTTCAAATTGTAAATATATCAATAAAACATTACATTCAACTGATACCCATGTATTTTGCAGAAAAATGTGGATATTGGGTTTTTAAATCAAGAGTGTGTGTGTTTAATCAGAGAATTTGCAATTTTTAAACAGAAAACTAGGATCTCTGGTAACAAGGTAGTATCCTAGCTTTATTGTAGCATCCAATGCATACATTGTCCAGTATGTTCCACAAAGGATACAAGATGTGAAATTCTGTGGCAGCTGTGCAGTAACTGTAACTTTTGTATTTCTAGTCACTGGCTTTTTTTCCCCCATGCATCTTTTCTGTGGTATTAGTTCATTTAGAAAAGATTCAGGTTCTGTTTTTTCTTTCTCCATTGTTCTCTCTTCAGTACCTGGGAGGTATGAAAACAGCACACTGTTTGGTTAAAAATTCCTTTGCTACTTATTTTCCCCCTGAAGTGTCATCCCTGTGACTTTCCAGGGCAACCAATTGTGATATCATACAGAGAGATTAGTGTTAATAAATACTTAGTACTAGTTTCCATAGGTGTATTATGCAGGTCAGAAGTGGCAATTGCCAGCCATTCCCCACTGCTCAGAAAGGGGATATTCACATGGAAGAGTACAAAAACAGGTAGCCTGTACCTGCTAGAGGTAAGCCATTTCCTGACAGGAAGGACTAAAGGGGTTATTAAGGTTGTTGTGACTTGCCTGATAAAATCTCTTGTAAATGTCTCTCTCCTCTTCTTGATGTTGTGCTTAATTTTCTGACTAGAAGAAATGATGGAAGACACAAGAGGGAAGTCGCTGGTGCTGTAATGCAATTTTCAATTCCCCAGCCAACTTACTTAGAATAATTACTTTTGTTGCAATATAACTCACTGTGGTAAGTTATAAGTCCTCCCACCTAAAAAGAAAATAATTCATTCTTTCTTCTTTTCTCTAAGCTTGCTTCTTCTCTTTGTATTAAGGTGTCATTTAAAAGTGGTACATGGACTTATTAAGCCAAATCTACAATGCTAACTTGCATTCAGAATTATAACTATACGTACTACACCTACCAGGACCAAATGGGGGCAACCCGAGCACTGGATAGAAATGGTGCTGCTGTACGTATCCCTGTGCTTTCAGAAAACAGTTTGCGCCTCTGCAGTTTACTGATATACTTGCTTCCATTTTTTAATAAATGCAAATACCAAAGGATCTCAAGCCAACTTACTCCCACCTTTGAGTGACTGGAGTATGAGGTGCTCGAGTAGAACAGCATAACTTGCTTTGTGCATCACTTCAGCAGCCAAACAAACAAGACTCAGAAGTGTTGCTTTGACCCCCCCAAAACCCATGTTCATTCTTTTCCTCACCAAAGCAAAACTAAATTCATTTGGAGCCATGCCTGGTGTTTGTCCAAATCCAAATATTTTATGTTCATGTGGGTTTGGTTTGTTTTATTCTTTCAAACGTGCTAGCTGTAGCTGAGCCTCAGAACAGCATTTGAAAACAAAGAGGAATGTTTCTTCTGCAGAGCATTAAAACAAAAATGCTCCTATTTCCCCCCAGGTTTCATTTAACCAGGCACTTTCCCTCTCCCCAGCTCCAGTCCTGCCTCGCAGGCCTTTGGCTGAAAAGCAAACAGCAGTAGTTCCTCCCGTCTGCTTCCCCAACAGCCCTGGCGCGTCAGTGTTCACACACGAGCCATGTTTTAGGCAGATGGGGGTGGGGGGAATGAAAAAGAGCTGGAGAACTTTGTTTGTCACACTTTTCTGAAGGAGGAAAAAGCAAGGAAAAGAAAGCTCACCCTCACCTCCAGCTCTCCAGGGACCTTCCCCTTCTCCTAGGTGGAGAGGGAGCTGGCTAGATTTGAAGAATATCTAATAGAGAAAATGCCCGGAGGACTCTTGTCTGCAGCCCAGGAGTTGATTTAGTGCTGACAGCTGCTCGTCTCTTCCACCGCGGGGCTGCAGCAGCTCCAGGGAGGTGGGAGCGGAGCCCGCACAAGCCTGAAGCCCCCTAGCAGCCCCGTGCCCTGCGCGCGGAGATGGACGCGGGAAGGACGGCTCGGTCCCGGGGCCGCCCCGCTGGCGGAGCAGGCGGCCGGCAGGGGGAGATCTTGGTCCGCGTTTGAGGGCTGCAGCTGCCAGCCTCAGTCGCGTCTCCGTGCAGGGAGCCAGAGAGGCGGCGAGACGCGAGGGGACAGGACAGCAACGCTACGCCGGAGCCGCGGAGACCAACGCGGCGTTGGGAAGCGACCAGCCCCCGGGGCCCGGGCACGCGTGGGGGCCCGGGCCACGGATCCACAAACAACGCGGGGCTAAGGGTCTGTGCAGGGGGGCCCGGACCGGGCTGCACTGCACTGCACCGGGGCTGGGCTGAGAACACACCCACGCGCCCCCCCCGCGACGCCCAAGGACCAGCAGAGTAGACTCCCGCGCGCCTCCCTTTAAGAGCGCGGAGGCCCCGCCCCTCCTGGCCAGGGGGCGGGGCGAGAGCGAAGGCCCCCGGCGCGCGGCACGCGGATTGGTTGGCGCGGCGGGGCTGTCCGTGCTGCTGCCTGCGCCGGGGAGTAGAGCGCGCGGCAGGGCGGGCGGCGGCGCTGTGCGA